AGGTGTTGAAAACGACTGGGAAGGTTTTATGGGGTGAAAGCTAGAATGTGGATAGTGTCAAGGATTAAGTAGAATACGTGTATGAGTACCTGTTCTAGCACTAGAGCCGCTTTGCTCGTATGTGCTCATTGCCTGAGTGACTGGCAGGGTCAGGAAAGAACTGTTTTGCATCTTTTTCACTGTTAGAAAAATAAATTAAACTCTCCTGCAATAGTAGCTACATCAAAGCTTTGTACACATCAAAGCTGTGGTAGGTAGGAATCCTTGGAACCGATTTAGCAAAGTATTATTTACTTGGAATTTGCTCATTAGTGATTAACACTGTTTCTAAACAAGTACCAATTCTCCCCTTCCCTAATGGTTGGTGAGTTTCGAATGTTGGAGCTCAATTAATGTGATAAAGTCAAGTTCCCTGTTGTAGATCTTACCTTAAGTATGTACTATTATATGGGAGAAGTAGAGGGGGCAGGGAAGAAAGTGTTTTGAAGGCTTTTCCTAACAGTACTTTGTAGAGACTCTGACAATATTTGGCCCCAAGCCTCCACGGGAAGTGTGTGCCCAACAGCAGATTCCTACTGGTTTAATTGTGGCTGCTCAAAGCTGTGTCTGAATTCTGAGTAAGAGAAATTGTAACTGCTGTTTATCACCACGAGTTAGGATTGAAATCTCCTATTCATCACCAGCATTGTTGTTTGCTATCCTCATTGCCCCTTTGTGTTGCCCAAAATTTGTTGGAAGCGTTCTCTGGTGCAGTCAGCAGCTTTACCTGATTTGCAGCTCTTGCCACCTAATGTTTTTCTTTTGAGCTCTCCTTTGTTGTTGTTGTTGTTGCGTAAAAATTTGGTTGCTATTACGAAACAGTTTTTCGTGCTTGAGGTATTGCTCAATTTTCACTTTGGGCTTTACTTCATTAGGCACATCACATGTTACTTAGAAGCATATGCTCCACTTCATATGTTTTCACAATGATACGCGAGCTCCTTCATAGCCAAGTGATTTGAAATGGCAGTTGTATTTTACTGGTAAAGAAAAACGTTTAACCATCCATACAGACTGATGTGAATTTAAGTTTGTTGCCCAACATATTTACTGTTTCTTCACGAGTCCATGCTATTAACCATCACTTATGTAAGTTAAAAGCCAGTTCCTGTTTCAGTATAGTGTTAAGCTTGTACATACAGATTTGTGTAATGGTGATGTGGTTGGGGCCTGTTTTATTCTTCTCCATTCTTTGTTTTCCCATTTTGTAAGTCAGGAAGCATTGTGATTCTTGACTTAATTTCCCCCTCTTCCCAGTGATACGGAATAAATATGAACTGTTTATATGGTTTCTTTCTTAACGTAAATAGATACAATTTTATTGGTTAATAGTAACCAGCATGTACATTGGGAAAAGAAGGAAAGAAAAGGTATCTTTATATCTTAAATCTTGAAGATGTTAGACTTGCTGTTGATGAATGGTGACAGTAAGGAAGTATGAAATATTTGTGCTAATTCTTGCTCCTGCATGGTTTTCCTTTGCGGGGAGAGGGTTGGGGTGTTGGATGTCTTGTTTGTTAGTTAAAACAGTTTCAATTTTGCTTTGTAGAACCAAGTAAGTTTTCACAAACACTGAACGGAATTCCTTCTTCAAACCCAGTCAGCAGTGGAATGGACCCCTTCCATGCTTGTAGTATTCTTCAACAGCTTAAAACCATGTATGATGAAGGACAACTGACAGATATCGTAGTGGAGGTGGATCATGGGAAAACATTCTCCTGTCATAGGAATGTTCTTGCTGCAATCAGTCCTTACTTCAGGTACAATAGTCCATTGTTCTAGTGATCAAAAGCAGAATTATAATTGAAGTTCATTAAATGAAAATTAAAAATCACACCTATACTAATATTCCATGGAACTTGGTAATACAGTGCACCTAGTAAGTAAAGGTTATTGTTCTCTTCCAATCAGTGAATTAGCAGTGTTTGCTTACCAAAGGAGAGTTTCACTGGAGAAAATGTTACATGATTTAACAAAAAAAACACCCCAGACAAAATTGCCTCCAGTTTTGAGGGTATCTTGGATACGAGAACAGCATATTTAAACTCCTTGTTTCCTTTTCAAGTTATATATTCTAGCGTGCTAGAATATGCATGTGAAATAACATGTTGAAAGTTGAATGCACAGACTAGGGCATGTTGAGAGCTTTGCTTTTAAACTGAATGAATTTTAATACAGGGCTAGCGAGAGAATTAAGCAGGAAATTTGAGTTCACCACTTTTGTTTCAATAAGCCTAGAACTGATCTTAAATTCAGGTACCCAAACAGCACAGTGTAACATCAGTGATAAATGTATTTGTGCTTATATAAGGGCAAAGTGATTAGGATTAGCTGTACAGTATAACTTCATTTCTCATACCTGTACTTAGAAGGTGATTACAAATAAACTGCTGAATGTTCTTCTTTTGTAGATCTATGTTCACTAGCGGCCTTACAGAGAGTACCCAGAAAGAAGTTCGTATAGTTGGTGTTGAAGCAGAGTCAATGCATTTAGTATTGAACTATGCATATACCTCCAGAGTAATGCTGACAGAGGCCAACGTTCAAGCTTTGTTCACTGCAGCTAGTATCTTCCAGATCCCTTCCATACAAGACCAGTGTGCTAAATATATGATCAGTCATTTGGACCCACAAAACTCCATTGGGGTGTTTATCTTTGCTGATCACTATGGTCATCAGGAACTCAAGGACAGATCACAAGACTACATTCGTAAAAAGTTTCTGAGTGTCACCAAAGAGCAAGAATTTCTTCACTTGAGAAAAGACCAACTCATAAGCATACTCGACAGTGATGACTTAAATGTAGACAAAGAAGAACATGTTTATGACAGCATTATAAGGTGGTTTGAGCATGAACAAAATAAGAGAGAAGTGCACCTTCCAGAAATATTTGCCAAATGCATCCGTATGCCTCTGTTGGAAGAGACGTTTTTAGAGAAAATCCCTCCCGTGTTTGCACAGGCTATGGCCAAAAGCTGTGTACAAAAGGGACAACATAGTGCCAATGGCTATACACAACGGCTTGGAATGACCGCTTCTGAAATGATCATATGCTTTGATGCTGCCCACAAACACTCAGGAAAGAAGCAAACAGTGCCTTGTTTAGATTCGGTCACAGGGAGAGTGTTCAAACTATGCAAGCCACCAAATGACTTGAGGGAGGTTGGAATTCTTGTATCTCCTGATAATGATATTTATATTGCGGGTGGTTACAGACCGAGCAGCAGCGAGGTCTCCATTGACCACAGAGCAGAGAGTGATTTTTGGATGTACGATCACTCTGGCAATAGGTGGATTCCGAAAGCTCCTTTGTTGCGAGCCAGAATAGGCTGCAAACTGGTTCATTGCTGTGGTAAACTGTATGCAATAGGTGGTCGTGTTTATGAGGGAGATGGACGTAACTCACTCAAGTCTGTGGAGTGTTATGACAGCCGAGAGAACTGTTGGACAGCTGTCTGTCCAATGCCGGTAGCAATGGAGTTTCATAGTGCTGTGGAATATAAGGATAACATCTATGTTTTACAGGGTAAGGTGGTTTGACTGACTACATGGTGTTTTCTTGGAAGTGGGGATTGTTCAATCTGACTACGTTCCTTTAAGCACCTTGGAAACCCCAAATTTCCCGGACGCTTAGAGTGCACCTGGGACAACAGGGTGGAAGGAAAGCCAGGGAGAGCAGTGGGCAAGGAAGAGTGAGGCTGCTTGAGTTCTTGTGCCCTGGGAATGTGTCACTAAATTGTAGTATTGAGTTACTGCACAAATGGCAATTTTGGCGGTGTTCTAAGTTAATATTACAGTACTGAATTTTATTGTGGAAGTTCTTCATCTGGGTGAAATGCACTAATGTTGAAGAAAAGATACTGTGCTCTGAAAAAACAGGTTTCATTTTATCTAGCTAAACCTGTGAAAATTCCTGGTGTCTGTATTCTTGGTGACCACTGTAGGCCTTCATTGCATCCCCTACACTGCTATTTGAAGTCATCCTGGTAACTAAGAAAGATGATTTATCTATTTCTAGTTAGCTGTGTTTCTTTGGTCAGTAATTATATAGTGTCTTTGCTTCCTTTCTTCAAGTAAATAATCAGACTTATTGGTGTATTAGAGACTGATTATTAAATTAATAAACAGGATCATTATTGGAATGGATCAAATAATTTAGTCTTTATTTATAGATATCTTACATAAAATACCTATTTGTATGTATGGGTGAGCCATATAGCAGTCTGCACATAAAAGTGCTGAGACTGGTCTATGAGGCTGTAGTAAGAGTCCCAAAAGGTGGAGAGAAAGAAAAGAGGGTGTGGTGTCTTGGTTATGTTTTGCTAAGGGCCACCTCTGAAAACACCTGCGGAAGTTGGACTTTTAGATTCATATCAACTCCTTCTTTGGGTTGCTCTCCATACAAAGCTGGACCAGAAGAAAGAAATAGGATAGAGAATACTGTAAGCTCATTGTTATTTACTGGAAGAACTCAAGTGGATTTCTTGACTTTGGTTCCCTGCCACTTGGTAAGGTTGGGCTTCCACATGTTTTGCAGAGACTTACCTTTGGTTATTTCTGTATCAGGTTTGACTCTTGTTGGTTGTGGCTTTAAGTAATTCTGTTACACTAGTAAGTTTTCTCAGTCTGTCTCTTCTGTTGGGTCAGACATCTGCTTTAGATGGTTAAAGTAACACTGAAGAATATTTAGCGTAATACTTAGCATACTGACGGGACAACAGGTAGTGGTTTTAAAATGAAAGAGAGTAGATTTAGATGAGATAAAAGGAAGAATTGTTTTTGCAGTGAGGGTGCTGAGGCACTGGCACAGGGCGCCCACAGAAGCTGTGGCTGCCCCATCCCTGGCAGTGTTCAAGGCCAGGTTGGACACAGGCGCTTGGAGCAACCTGCTCTAGTGGAAGGTATCCTTGCTCGTGGCAGGGGGTTAGAACTGGATGAGCTTTAAGGTCCCTTCCAACCCAAACCAGTCAGTGATTTAACTTGGTAGAGTATTTGTTCATCCTATAAATGTTTATTAGAATTGCTAAATAGAGAACAATTTTATAATCTATGTAATTTGTTTACAGATTTTAGCTGCACTAATTCTATGCTTCATTGGTTTAGATGATAACTCAATGCTTGCAAGGTACTTCACCGTGCAACCAGCAAATTATAAAGATTTATGAAATAGGCAACTCTTCTGTTTGAGTGTGGTAGATAAAACCTTGATTGAGTTGCACTGAAGTAGTATAAAAAAGTGAATTCTCAATAATTTTTCTAAAGAAAGGTCATAAGTTTGAAGTAGTCAATAAGGATGGATGAGAGTATTAAAATGCCAATGGAACACAAGTGTCAGTCATAGGAGATCACACCGTGGAACAAAAATTAATCATTAGAAATGTATTGTCTGTAAAACTTGGCTTTTAAGCTGTCCCCCACCCATTTTACACTATCGTTGCTGTATTCTTTTTTTATACTTGAGGTGCTTAGTTACACAGCAGCTTGGTGAAAATTCTTAAAACAGCCATGTGAAATTATATATGATTTGAATTAGGCTGGTAAATGTTAGGCCTTTCTTTCCCCAAGCTTTACAAAAGACAGGGTGGTCTTTGCCTATTTTCATCAAGTTTGCAGAGCACGAGCTTTCGGACATCTGAAATTCCATTATCTACAGCCTGTAGATGCTTCTCTGTGCAGTGAACAGAAGAAGTATTTTGTAATCACATCACAAAACTAACGATGAATCAGTAGCTTCATGCAAGTATTCACCTGGCATCCTTCTAAGCAAATCAACCCAAACGGTAACCCACTTGGGTTAACAACAAGTAATTTCAAAATCTGTGTGGTGCAAGACACAATTATTTGCTTCAGGTTTAATGACTTTCTGGCATGGAATTCTGGGATTCCATGGTCTGTAGATGACCCATTGTGAAGATGTTAAAGAATGAAACAAATACGTCAGACATTTCAAGACTTGAATCTTGAAAGGATTTGTCCCAAATTATTAAACATGGTTTAGAAGTAGTAAATACGTAAAACACTATGTCTGATAGATTTCACATTCCCTCTTCTTCAGCTGAAATAGAAACTCTTAAGTAGTTTTTACGCATGCCATTAAGGTGTTTGTAATGCACCTGGATGAAAGCAGGCCATGGTGCTAGGGATTTTGTTACGGGATCAGGGCATTTAAAAATTGGTAGACTGTTTGTGCCTGTGGAAGAACATACCTGAAAGCTTAGTAGCTGCAGAATTGCTGTTCTGGGAATGAAGCATAAGTTATGTTTTATTTTTCCTCTCTTTTCAGGGGAGTTTTTTCTCTGCTATGATCCTCAGAAGGATTACTGGGGCTTTTTGACCCCAATGACTGTGCCTAGACTCCAAGGCTTGGCAACTGTGTACAATGACTCCATCTACTACATAGCTGGAACCTGTGGAAACCATCAACGTATGTTTACCGTAGAGGCCTATGACATTGAACAAAATAAGTGGACTCGAAAAAAAGACTTCCCTTGCGATCAGTCCATTAATCCCTATATAAAACTCGTACTCCTCAAAAACAAACTCCATCTGTTTGTCAGAGCTACTCAAGTCACTGTTGAAGAACATGTTTTCAGAACCAGCAGGAAGAATTCGCTCTACCAGTATGATGAGGTTACTGACCAATGGCAAAAAGTCTATGAGACTCCAGACAGGCTCTGGGATTTGGGCCGGCATTTTGAATGTGTTGTTGCTAAATTGTATCCGCAGTGTCTTCAGAAAGTTATTTAAATTTTGTTTGTTTTCAGTCACAGGCCTTAGTGATTTCAGTGGTGATCTGATGCTAGAGAAAACATGTCTTAAAAGAAAACAAAGAAATCCTGTCAGTATTTATTGTAAGCTGAAACAGACCGTTTGTTGTATATGGGGACGGGTGCTCTTTAAAGGTTGCAGTCTGGGGAAGGAATACTGGTTCAGTTTCATATTTACTGATGCTTTCCTGGGAAATGAGAAGGAGGTTACAAAGTGCAATTATCAGCATTTTTTTTTTCTGGTAAACATTTAATCATGTCATACTAGAGGGTTGGTTTTGTGGTAAGAGCAAATTAAATGGAAGAGCCAGGATAACTATGCACTACAGTGAAAGAAAATCTAGCATTACTAGCTAAGGATGTCCAAGATGTTTTGAAGTGACTTTTTTTTTTCCTCCTCTCCTTTTTTTTTAAATACGGGTAAATTTTGAGGCAATATCACTAAGTTGATTTTGTTTGGTTGGTTTTTTTTATTTGAGATTGAAAGTACATAGAGGAATGATAGATCCTGATTCACAATGATCTCTTTTTTTGTACTGTTTTTGAAGTCTTCAAAAATGTTTTGTGATGTTGTTTGTGCACTACAATTTGGGAGGAAAACTTAAGTCCTCAAGTCAGAATTGGAGCACAGAGTACCTTTGCCTCGGACGGATCCTGTTCACATTACTGTACCACTTCTTGTTTGTGGATTTCTGAGCTTAATGATGAGGGGAATCCCAACACCTATTTTCTGCCACATAGATGTAGTGCTCTAAAACTTTTTTTTTTTTTAACACTGCTTAATACCTTTTTTCCATCCCATAAAGGGCTTTAACCCAAAAGTTGATGGTGCTAGTACGTTTTTAATACTTGTTTGTCTGAAATAGGCCGGCCTTATGCTACTGTTTAAGACAGCCTGTTAGTTTTCATGAAGTGTGTTTGTCGTCAGGCCCTGTCCTGTCATCAGGTTGTCTTTTTTAACATAACATTTTTACTGCAGTGGTATTCTTGCACAGAATGGTGACAGGATATGGCCTTAATAATATTGATTATTTTTCTTTTCTTTTTGTGTGGAGTGTTCATTTTGTCTCCACTGAAGTACAGTGCTATGTGCAGAGTTGGCATGTGCTCCGGTAGTTTGGAAAAGTGTGGCTTAACTTTACAAGTTGTTGTTTTCTCCCCGCAGTCAAGCCCTCAAATAATTCCTTATTCATTCTGATCTATAATGTGAAAATTTGCACTACTGAGTTGTCTTCATTATCTGGTGTATTAAAGGAAAATTGACAATAAGTGTCCGTGGCTTAAATACTCTTAGGTGCAAATACAGAATAGGAATCCAATATATTGCAACACTTTATGTATTTAACATTTAGTTTATTTTTAAGTAGTAAATAAGTTCATAGTTCAGCCTCTACTTCAGTAGTGAAAACTGGATTTAAAAGGGAAAAGATGAATCTTAAAACTCGTATCGCCAGGTTTAATTCATTACAGCTCTAATTTTTGCAGAGCTCTGAGTATGTTATCTTACTCTTCCCTGTTTTCCCCAATTGAACTAAGGAAACCAGTTAACTTGAAATAGCAGTGGCCATCACTGGCTGTAAGTGCTTACCACTATCTGGCTTCACAGCTGATCTTTCAGTAAGCCAAATATTTAGCTTGTTGTTTATCCCCCCTGGCATGGCCGAGGATTTCAATGATGTTTGTTTACAATGTGGTCTTGCTGTTCCCGAATGGAATCTTTCTAATCCACAACAATACATACCTGGTTCTGTTTCTTAATTCTTGCACAGTGTTTGAAAGGAAAAACAAACACAAAAACTGTGAAATGAAAAGGAGAAATAAAGAAAAAGCCTCTTTGCATTACATACCTCATCTTCCAGAGACTCACCAAACCGCTGCTTTTGAACGTGAGCGCCTGAGTTGACAATTCTTGCTAAGACTGCATTTTCCAACAACAGTGTTGAGGTGTGTTGTTTCTTGTTCAGTTTTCCTCTGGATACTGTTTTCTGTGTATCCATAGCCAAGAATAAGAGTGTTGGTGTTTTTCTGAAGTACAACTGATTTCGTTTTTACAATTATCCTTAGTCCTTGGCTAGCTCTCTTTGCGCTGTTGTAGGCCTCTAGCTGCAAGCTTTCTGAAGCACCCTCCCTAACAGTGTTGCATTTGTGTGTAAAACCATTTCTTTGCAAAGTGTTATGTACCTTTTTTCTTTTTTTTTTTTTTCTTTTTTTTTGGTTGGTTTTGGTTTTTATGTTGTTTTGATTTTTTTAAGCTTGGTTGAATATTTACAAGACTTCTTGCTGCTTTTTGACAATCTATATTTATTTAGTAGAACAAATTTCAATATATTACTTGAAATTATGAAATAGAATTGAGTTAGCAGTTGACTGGTCATGTGATGTATAGAAGTACAATATGCTGTGGTTAATTCTACAGTAGGTTTGTTCATTTTGTTTTATCTGCACTAAAGTACGAAGATCTCCATTCTGTTTAACCATTCAAACTGAGGGTGTGATCCAAGTCTGTCATGTGTTTAAAAGTTAAATCCTGGAACTTGCTGTGGGAGTAGAATATACTAAATCTTTTGCATGAGGAGTTTGTTGAGACAGTAATGTAGCTGTGACATTTTGCCAATTCTTAAATGCTTCTACATTTTGCTGAAAGTCGGATTCCTGGTAAAGTTTTGCTTTAGAGTCAGACTTAAGTAAACTTGCACAGCACAAGAGGAAAAAAAAAGTAATTGCACCAAAGGTACTGATAATATTTAAACAGTAATCTGTACATTTCCCCCACTTGGTATTTTTTCTTCATTCATTTCTTTCCCTTTATTAAATGAATTTCTAGCATTGTGAGGACTTTGTGAGTGTAAATCTTTTTCCAGAATTCTTAGTTCCTTTAGAAGGAAACATTTTGTAATTTCCACTCGATTCCATCAGTAAAATTTAGACTTAACTAAAAGCAGTTCTGGTGCACCAACCATGCAGTGTGTGTATGTTCTACAAGAAATCGAAGAGCTCCCTGTTCGTAAGGCTGTTTAGAAATGGCATCCAACATTCAGTGCTCAGGTATGTTAGTAAGAAGTACTGTAGTCCTATGAGGGCAAATGTGTGGATTTTTAAACATTTTGCCATAATTGCACAATTTTGCATTTTTACTTAATGTCATGTTATGTTTCTTAAAATAAACCTATTGTTGAAATACAATGGAGTTCAACTGGCTTTGTGATAAATCTTGTGCATGCATTTTAGTAAACTTCTGCAAGTTGACCCAGTGATACATCTTTCTGATGCTTGTTCAGTTGTTTTTCTATTTGTGTGTTACGTATCTATGTAATTTCCCTTTTTTAAGGCACTACTATGCTGTTGCTTGAGGTGGAAGGTGCTTTGTTCTGCTTTGCTGTCTCCTTGTGGCTATTCAGGTCTAACTTCTCATTTGCTTATGTGCAGGTGACATCATCTTTCCCTTTCCCTTCCTCCTTGCCTTTGCCT